ACATAAGCACAAACACAAAACGGGGTATAAAAAGCTATTAGACCAGGACTGGTGCAAGGAACCGGTGAAGATCATGAACGTTGTCATGTTTATATTCAATCACGTACAAGGCCATGTCGTGGATTTTGAATGCCATGAGGTTTATCACAGGGTAATTATTAGGTGACAACAGTGTGGCGGCAGAAGAGCTTAGGAGTTATTTATTGTTCACCCTTAAAAAACACCAAAGCATCTCTGATACAGTCCAGTAGGGGAACCGTTGCAGGGATAATACGGGATATAAACAGTAAACATAAGCGTAAACCTTCAGCCGTAACACACTCTCAGTGTGTAGCTTCCATGCCATCCGAAGAAAGCACGAGGGATGAGGTACTGCCAAGTTACCCAATCCTAGATAGGAACAGTCGAGATGGACAGGTTGGTTTCGAACCATGGACCTCCCGGTCAGTAAGCGCGAGCCTTAACAGAGCTATCTTGTGCATTGACGAAAAATAGATCTGTTTGTCCAGCATGGAAGGAATTGCGAGCTACGTCGTGGTGACAGCTTTAATACAGGACCGTCATTGGCTGTGTGACACAGCCATATCTATAAGCCATATCTATAAGATAATTCATTGTTTAATGAACCAGCTTACGGACCGGAAGGTGTGTGGTTTGAAACCAACCTCAGTATCTTGATTGCTCCTGTCTAGGCTTGGGTATCCTGACAGTATCCCATACCTCGTGCCTCCTTCCACAAACATGGCAGCTAGACATCGAAAAAGTGCTACAGCTGGATCACTATTGGTTTGTCTCGTCCCGCGGTCCGCTTCAGTGGAGACGACAGTTGTCGACGCGACTCAGATGGCTGACTAGTAAGGGCTCTCAGGCTTCGCTGCTAAGTCATGGACTGAACGTCACTGGATCGTTTTCGTCCGACAAAAGACTGGGCTCTACGTTCTATGAAATACGACGTACATAGCTAAGAGACGTAACGTGTGAAGTGTAAACAGCTGATCTATCGAGGAAAACTGGAAATTTCCGGGAAACCATTTGGCGTACCTCAGCACTACTGGCCTGGTGTTCCACCCAGACCAACGCAACATTCGGAGGCATCGATGGTCCCTGGATGATACCTGCGAGGAGCTTAGAGGCGATGATGACTAAACGAATACCCCGATGATTCTCAGATCTAACCTAGTTGAAGACAAAGAAGACAGTAGATAACTGCCCTTCCTCTGACACTGCATTCATCGTCCAAAAGGTTTGCATGAGTTTCGTCAGACCTTGAAACAGTCTTCTGTATACATCTCCAAACAACGTAGAGGGAAGACAGTTAGGAGCGGGTGTTTTGATTCGCTTTGGCAGTTCGATTTTTCTAAACTTTACCTCTCTTTGGGCCTTGTCAGTTGCCGTCTCATTGCGAAAGTAGTGGTGAATGGATCGTTATGATGAGCACCTCAGATAATCGAAAAAGGCGATAACTCCTGAGCCGTCCTCTTTTGTAATGACTTCACTGACCTGGCCCGGTGTTACGGAGAGAAATTCTAGAACTCCTAAACATTGTCACCTTTTCCATATCCTTCCAGCCTCCAAGCCTCCCTTCAGAGATCTCACTGGATAGTATTGTTATTCCGACAGGACCACCTTTCTCACCTCGATCAGGGGAATAGACCGAAATCTGCATGTGATGCCCAACCTAAATTGGACCGTGGTGCCGTATTGCGATGCAGAATGCATTGCGTTTCGGGTTTCAAACCTGTCTTTATTTGGTCGACCGGTTCGTTTCGCGTTCTTGATTTGTCTAGACATCTGCTGTTAAATTACTTTGGCGAACAGATCGTGTAAGCAGTAGACATCATAACGGTGAACGATCTTAGGGGCATGAAAACGAGCTGTAAAACGGGAACGAACCAGGACGTCGTCTGACTCTACATGTGTTTCAAAAGAGGCGATATCTATAGTTATTTTCTGTGGTCAAGCTGGGTATTCAACTGGTTACGGTTTAAAGATAACGCTGAAGCTTTGGACAGTACGAGGTTGTAGGAGTCGACCACCACTGTCCATTTTGGAAAGATCGACGTCAACTTCTCCGCCGAGATGACTCTAATTCATACCGTTCATTGCCAACTGATAACTCAAATCACCGGCCAGAACAGTGACATTCGCACACTCGGCCATCCGCAGGAATCCACTAGGCATCTTGAACAGTGCCACTGCCGCAGTTGGTTGGAGAATATCTAGAAAGAACCAACCTATCGGGTTTTGGATCGTTGGTTGAGGATTCTAAGAGATCCGACAGGTCTGACTATACACAATAGGTTCATCACACAAATCAAGCTATCCAGGGCGTTCTCATTCGCTTTACTCAACCCGACGGGCATTCCCACCCTGAACCTTTGACTCAAAAGTCCGATACACAAGGTGGTGGAAGAAATTGGGTTCTGTTTCAGAGTTTCGCTTGTAGCCTGGGTCAACTTTCCGGCTCATAAGGTAACAGGCGTTAGAGTTTCCTTGGGGAACCCAGCTTAGAGCGAACCAATCGACAGTCTGACCCACTAGGCCGTAGAGAAGTTGCCTACCTCGACAGCACAGAGTAAGGTATAATCATCCCACTCCTAATGCAACTGTGCACAGAGGGTGGCCTCTGAGCAGCACATGATTCTCTGGCTTCAATTATTTGGACTATATAGAATAATGCACCGGCGGTGACGACCAGTCACTGGGGGATCTGATTGTGCGGTTTTCTGAGCCGTTCTTGTGCAACCCGTCCTTCCTGGAGAATGTAAAATAAATACAGGCATGACATCTGTATTGGTCAACACGGCTGTGAAGCAGCTTTTGACCCTGAAGCAAAGACTATGGGCTAACGAAGCCTCACAGAATAGCCCGAAAAGCGATCAACGGGGCAGAGGATTTCGGGGACTATGTGCAACGGTGAGAGATGCGATACGGTCAACGACACTGATCAATGATGTTCTGCAAAGACCGTTTTTGTTCGTTGCTTACACAAAAGTCATTGCAGTTGGTCTTGACGGCATATCTGTCGTTCGTCGTAGTAGTGGCCAAAGCTGGGGATTGTCCCCTAACGTATTGGAAGGAGGTGGTGTTGAAAGGTTAAAATTTCACACCTGAAATATTGGGGCGCCTTCACTAATAGGGCTCCACCTGTGGCGCTGTGCGGTTGGAGCCTATGAGGCTTGCCACGAATGGATAACAACAAACCGCTCGCCTGAAATATTAGTTCTATTATACCCCGTTTTTAGCCATATCTTGAATACTACAAGTTTGCAGTCCATGCCTCAGAAAAGTGTCATTGAGGGGGTCCGACGAATAGCCACAAGATGAATATCAGGGCTATGTGGAGTACCTTACAAAAGGAGTTAAACGTCATGGTCCATATAGCCTAGCACATCATATACTATACGGTGACGCAATCGAAGTCTGCAATAATGAGTAAGGGATATCATTCATACCGTGGATGAATAGCTGGAGATCAGAAATGGTAAAAAATCAACAGGTCATCTTGAAGCACTCCAGATAAAGACTCGGGATTCAGAATAGTACATCAGTAAAACTTAATGAGTTTGGTAGGGCTGTATGACCTTTGAAATCCTATACGAGTACTGGAAAAGTTGCTTTATACACCTGATGACATGTGGCCTTCGGAAGGTGAATATTTAGTCCTAGTTGAGCACGTCGGAAACCGATTCACTGTATGACAGCGAATGTTCTATGTTCTGACTTTTTCCGTGGACGGAAGCTTTGATATAGTGATTATATCTGTCAGGGGTCGGACCTCGGTGTGTGTGGGGGCATAGACCCCTAAGGATAGCCTGTCGAGAAAAGGTAGCACGCGCTCTGTATGTTCAAATCAGTGGTCTAATCACGCAACGGAACCGTCTACAGATCATCTGCACTGTGCTGGACTGTTGTGAATCTAAAGAGTACTCACAAAGCTGTGCTCGACCGGGTCTCCTTGGTCTGCTAAGGGGGACCAAGGTCAGGCCACGTACATAAGAACGCATTCATTTGTCTAAGGATCGTCAGTAGTGTTAGAAACCAATCCATTTAAAATAAGGGAAATGTCAACGCCAAAAGACAATGAACTTAGATCGATGAAAGAAGAGAATAAGCCAAAAGCATCAGCTTCCTAATGTGTACAACAATCGACAGCTTGAACAGGTTGCTAAAATTGGCGTTAGCATTAGCAGATCAGGGGAGTACAATCGTTGATTGAGATACCGGTAATTCGGATCGCCACCATTGACCCGAGCTCTCAGCTCTTTACTTTTATTGCACTAACCTCAAGGGTATAAGTTGCACGTTCTTGAGTTTCTGTTTTACCTTTTCGTAAGCTTATTTATACCCCCCCTCCTGTTTTAGCTGCAGACTTTCATCTTCCTGTCCTTCTATCGATGTAGTAAACCTCATGCAACCTACTCGAAGTTCGGATAGCAGCAGCGAACCCGCTGGTACCCATGTTGCGCAAATGGATGCCCTCGTACATTGTTTGCTGCTAGGTTATGTCGGTCAGTAACATCCAAGAACCACATAATTAGCAATAAAAATAACCATTCATCTGACAGTCTTTCGGTGCCAAGCTGATATGCCATCCAGAGACACGGGGTCAAGATACTGCCATGTTTTTCAGGCTTAGAGGGGAGCCTAGACCCTGAGAAATTTGAGAAACAACGGTCGACCATCGTGTCGTTGCAACCTCGTGAGACCGTTGGAACTCATGGGCTTATTCGACTATTGTCTTTTGTCCTGTGTCGGAATGTAATTCCATTTGGAGCGAAGGTAGCAGACCGTAGGATAAAGTGAGGTCATTATCGATGAGCTTCCGCATTTAGACGATTCGCTGTGATCACGCCTGAACATACCGAAAAAAACACCGGAGGCCTAAAATTCCGAATTTTTCAACAACCCGAAGTAGTAGAGAAACTCGAGGTGAGTTGACCAAATAGTTAAAGTTGTCATAACTAACCTACGGAATAATAAAGAGTAAGCAAACTAACTTTGAGAACATAACAACACAAGAGGAAGAGCCAACGACGGCTGTCGACACCAGATCAGCTGAGCCAGCTGGACGCCGATTGGCCGAAACAGCCAATGAAAACAGTGTTAACGCGTGCAAACAACAGCCGGCAGTCACATGTCGAACATATTGTGGAAGCAGCTTAGACGAAACCCCAGCTTTGCACGTGCAGTGCTCCCAACTGGAGGATGGTAAGACTATTCAGCACATAAACCAAGAGCGGCACGTTTGAAATTCATCCTCAGCCTCAGCGCTCTTTATGAATTTTGAAATTTGGCTTATGCAGGCGTTCAAAATGTCCCCTACGGTGAAACTGTTCCTGCAATCCTACGGCACTAGTAATCAAATACCTACTTCGAGGATGTAGACTGCGGTTAACCCAGGGGAAATGGTCGCTCGGAATGATATGGCGAAAATCATGCCCGCTTCATACAGTGAGGATTATACCTTGGAACCCATCCCCTGACCATCGATGAAAACCTCGCATCGCCTTTGCCCACCAGCAGTTAAGCATTATTCCTATCCAGCCGCCACCTATATCTCCGCTCACGCATCCGCATCAACACCAATAATAGGTTCTCCCCCTCAACACCCCCAGTTCTGAGTACGTCCCCGGTACAACCAGATACCAACTCAGCGATCCAGATCTCTCTGCCCAGGTCCGCTGGTAATCCCACTGCACCTTCTAGGTTGGTGGCGCTAATATGCGCAGGTCGAACCCGGGATATCACTTCCCTCCTCCCCTGTATCCTGAGACATATGCCCTATAAGAGATATTTCTCACTAACTTCCCCCGAACAACCTAAAAATAATTCAGACATCCAAAAGGTGACACTGCACGAGCTACAAGCACCACTGCACTATGAAAAGTCGTTCCAAAAGTTATTCGGCGTCCTGCGGACGATTCAGCACACCTTCCTTCTTATTATTCGCATGGAGACCCAGATACTCTTTGGGACATAAATCAAGCCGGTTATTGAAGGTGACAGCCAACTTGTTCATACAGAACGCACTAAGGACGTAGCCATAATCAAACGTGTCTAGTGAGGTGCTACGAAAACCGTTCCTGGAATCAAATCCGCTACGTAGGGTATGCGTCTCTGGGTGCTTGATCTGTTTCACCATGAACATAGTCGTCCCCGAGGTTACCTTGTTCCTACCCATGCTCTGTTTGAACGAGCTCCAACAGGTGTGTTTTTCATCGCTGACCCAAATAATACGGGACGCGGGCGTGTTTAGATATTCGAGCACATAGTGCAAACTTTTATGAGGCAATAATTATTTCATTTCCCATAATTGGGGCACCCAGTGCCCGGCGCAAGGCATACTCTGACGCATTTTTATGTTAGTCATTCTATCGGAAAACTTCATGCACTAAGATGTCAAGTTTAAAAGCGAAGCTACACTCTATATTCGCGTGCGGGTTTCAGGTTAACGGGGGCCGTCGAACGACAACAACGAACCCGAAATTGGATGCCCGGGAAAAGCCTCGATCCTGCGAACCAATAAGTAAATCCATGCTTTTGTAAGCCTCGGAACCAGTGTATCAGCCCGCTCGTTTTGAAGGCGATGTGAAGTTTGACTAAAATTTATTTTGAAATTGATTTTCCTATAGCTGCGGGGTTTTGGAGGCGGTGAATTTTACAGCAAATTAGTCTAATCCGGTTTTGCGTTTCAGTTTCAATTTATTTAACTGCACAAGTTTTCAAGGTCTCCCTAACGCCTTCCGTCTGCAGTCATCGGCTTACTAAAAAAGCAGAAAAATTGCATAGCAGGATGAGCCACGTTTCTATTTATTTTATTTTACATAAATTCTCATGTAAGTTCTATTCGTGTGAATATTCGAGTAAAATTTTTGTCCCTTCCTCTCGTCGACGCATTAGGTCATAACAATTGTTTCACCGCATTCCGTTACGACGCTGCTGTCTACGACCTTTTCTTGTATTGTATGTAATATATCTTAATCGGCAATTGACATTGGCGCCACTCCGCATCGCTGTAAATGGTCCCCACTTTCTGTATAGTGCGTAACGTCATTGGGCCCTGGTTTCATTCCGAAATTAAAAAAATCGTCTGTGCTGCCGCCTACCCAGTTTACCCAGCCTACGCATAGACACCGCTGTCCCTGTACCTTTGTATCTCTTTGAGTATCAGGCCTTAACTATGCGCGATGGTCTAATCCAATGGATTTGTCTCGACGGCGTCATTTATCTGGCCTCGCAATAGACGGCGAGCTGGCCCTTCGTATGGCAAAATTCAAAAAATATACATGGAATAACCTGGAGACACTCTGTGGTGCCAACGGCACACACCAAAGCATAGGGCTGTGGCCATCTTTTGTTATTTGTGGTTGCATGACAACAAAACCCATTTCGTCAACAAAACATTACATACACACTCCTCTCTACTGAGCATTGGAGTGCCCACACGCTAAAAAGAAAAAAGGCAATAAAATTCCTGATCCTCCGCTACTGGCACTCAGGTCCAGCGTCTGTGGCCCTCTTTATCCATGCATTACTTTTTGATTAAAGCTGATTGAAGTGTTGCGGGTACTGGTGGCCATTCATTTCCTTCCCGAATTACGTTACTGCACAACTTATCATTTGGGAGGTTCTATTCTCACGAGTTTTTGTGTTTGCTGCCTATAAACACAACACCTCTCTGCATACTTATACCGGTCTTTTTATACCCCCTTTATTATGACAGCGTTACAGTGGCAAGCTTGGCCAGTCCTTAATGCTAGGCTACGGAGGAGGTAGTTACTAGCTAGGCTGCTAAGCGTAATTACATCCCTACCCTACCTCACTTGATGACACCACTCCACATGCGGTAAACCTCAAGCTATTCTTTTTTCTGGAAATGAACCATATCCAGCCTGATAATCTATCAAACTTACCAGGCCTTACTGAATTCGTCCCACTCCCACCTCTCCACAACCTTTGAACTCCCTGGCCGATATCCACCTTACCTAGTGTGTGCTTTGCATTGCAAATGATAGCTGAATGGACCGAAATTACCTATGATCCTGCCTGGGCTTTGTTCCACCACTACGGACCCTCTGAATATACCAAAATGTCGGTTGTCCGGAGAGTTGCGTATCCTCAGTCCAATCATCTAAAACATGACTTACGTTGCAAGGCTGTCCAGAAACCGAATTGCGTAAGTGAATTGATGGTGCTACATCGCCATACCCAATCTGATGGCACTCCCGCTGCTCTTCCCTCTCCCTTATTGACGGTGCCGTCTTGGCCACCCATTCATTTGTGTGCAGCAACGACCAAAATCTCTACCAGGCCCCAGCTCTCTATTAACAAATTATTTTTCAACGAGTGGAAGCATTCGCCCGCATCTACCCATCTCGGTGGACTCTCAGTTTGTGCTTTCCGCAAGTCAATCATTTCCCTTACAGTTCCCCTGATGTTCTGTGCGTTAGCATCAACTCCTTCTCACAGGGTTATTTTACACCTGACTCCTCTTCAACAAAGACTCCAGTAAGTTTGGGCGCCGGTCTTACTGTACACCGAGACTGAGGTCAAAAGCACTGTATACCCGTTTTGCAAATTTCTTCACTCCATCATCCCCGCTTAAGCCTTTTGTGACCTTGACCATAAGCCTTACTGTCCAGCTAACTGAGTCTTTGAATTAGTTTGACCTCATGCACATCGTTTCCTAAAAAATGCGAAAGAAACCAATTATTATCATTATTTTATGGAATACTTCCCACTCTTTACGACGTTGTCCCCTTTTCGCGCAATCTCCACTACCCGCAAGCCCACCAGTCATGCCCCATTCTGACTGTAGACGCATGGTCAGGCCAGACGGCATGTCGCCCACAAGTTGGGAATGAACATTATCATTATTATTAGCCACCAGAAGACTGATTGGGTCACCCAACAGTGTTGTTTCACCAGATTCCTCGCCCTGGTTCCTTACGCTCCGCACTTAGTAGTATTTTCATTTGTCAGGCAATATGCCTTAATTTTCCATTCCCCGCTGTTTTGTTGCCACCCGTTTTCAAATCGTAACTGCCTGATATTGCTTGAGCATGATGTGTACCCTCAAAAAGGGAAATCATAATAAATGTGTTTCCCCGCCCCACTGTTTTTCGTATTGTAATCGTGCCGGTATAGGCATGACCACGCCCATGTCGGATAATGTCCAGTAATGCTGTGATTGGGCGGTTTATGCGCCATCCCAATTTTGAATGCACCATTTCGGTCGTTCCTGATGGCGCACTACCCATCAGATGACACTGAACACCATTACCACTGACAAAGACTTATTATTCATAACTATGTGCGTTGTCGCCATTCCATGCGTGCAGCCGAAAATTATAAAATCATCTTTGGTGAGATATCTTTTTGTGTATTCAATACATTGGGGCAAAAGTAATGCTTAGTCACCCCATTTTACGTTTACCTTGACTAACTTTCATTTTATAAAACTTTTGAAAAAATACTGTAGCCAGTTTAATCACGCGTATTTCGTTGACACGTGTGTTAAATATCTTACAACCGTAAATATGTACAAATCATTCGTTTAATTAGTTACACGGGCAAAAATGAACCTTCGCTTGGTATTGTAGCAAGCGGTTAGGCTACTATTCATTAAATTTAATGTATTAAGTACCAAGTGGATTATTATTTTGACCGATACGACATGTGAGGCCACGGTGGCAATCTAGGTTACTATGCTAAAGGGGCAATACCGTTGTGTGCGCCACCGAAAAATGAATCTATAAAGCACCTGGTCGTCCAGAAGTCAGACCTAGTGCTCGTTATTATGTGATTCGATTGCACTCTTCAGATCACGTGCACATGCATCCAGATTTTAACTCACCAGTCTCAGTATACCTTGAAATTTGGCAGAGCATTTCAAACATGTGAGTCTTGCGAGAAGGTCTTGCTAGATTTCTATGGATCCGTTGGGGTCCATACTGCAGAAAGCCGTTCAGTAGGCGTTTATTGACAGCAGAGGTAATTTTGCTGGACAAACTGGCAAGTAACGGAAACGGTTTCAATGTTGTCTGCATAGTTATCTGTTGAGCGTACCTGCGGCTCTTCATGAAACTAACAGGGCTAATCAACACAAAATAGGTGTCGTATAATAACCGTTCCCGCGAACACCAGAGATCTTTGGTGTTGTTTTGTAGGTCAGATTAACCGCTGGGACATCGTCAGTTATGTATACTGCATGTACATCGGAGATGATTTCCTCCATCACTGAGGGCTCATAGTCCATTCCAGTCGTGGAGGAGTGGCTTAAAATCAACCGAGTTCGTACAATTCGTTGTCTCGTACGGCTTTTGGCCCTGCATGTTCTCAGTAACCTCACTTTGCCGATCAAGATCTTGAGATGCTTTTTAGAAACATTCTGCAGGTGAATGACTTGGTTTGGGGACCAGAGGTAACACCATCATCGCTTTTGTAGGGTGCATTACACTGGAGTCTAATGGTATTTGGGAAAGCAACATAGGCCGCCTAATAGAGAAAACACCTTGCACACCACTTAATTGCATGAACTGACAGAAAATGCCCATGCGGACCCAATCCGAGGCAATAAAAGCTCAAGGACACTCATGAATTTACACCAAACAGCAGCTATTATTAACATGGCTTCATCTTGCGGCGTCCAAACTTTACTATTTCCGCGGTGTAAATTAGAACTTGTTTCATCCGTCGGTAGTGATTGATTCAAACCTCCCATATTCTGCCTGAACAGCGCTCTACGTCCATATGGGCCTCAAAATGAATCGACCCCACTCGTGATTGTACATCGCTTGACTCTGTCCGCATCTATCCTCTTGCTGCTCAAATTGGTAAGAGTATACACTCAACGTAATGTACCAAGCATAAGTTTCATAAGTAAACAGAGAGCCCACGATCACAGGCAAACGCTGGTCACTGTAACCGTAGGAAGTTACAGTCCAATAACAGCTTTGAGGAAAGAAGATCCATCGATGAGAGATGGTCATCAGTTGGTGGAACAAAAAGTCCACATCACAACCAATTGCACATTGGGCTGAGATTATGGCAAGGAAATATTCATCAGTACCATGCTTCCGCTTCTTTTTATTTCACGCTCAGTGCCCGTCCAAGACAATGTTGACATCTATCACAGTGGTTCGGCGCTCCTGAACGGCGATTAGGCGAGGCTTGATGACAGGAGTCGAAGTAGGTGCTCTCAACTCTTCAAAGACGGTTTATCCAAGGCGACAGGGAAATTTTGCGAGTTCATCCGCAACCTGATTACGGCGATCAGGGCTGTCATCATGTATAACTTGGCAGGACTGCAAAATATGCACCAAACTCTCCGTTTGGACACAGTTTCCACGACGGAAGATTGTCTAGCTACCATGACCAAGCCAAGCGCTTCTAACTCTCTCCCTGATCGGCTGCATCGGATGTGTATACGCGGGTAAANGCGGAAGGCTGAACCGCAACAGCTTTGCTAAATGCGGGGTCGTTGAATACATCGTGTAGTACTCAGCACTGAATAGAAAAAAGCTTTTCCAGTGTTGCCAGCTGCATCGAGATATTTACATTCAGGCTTGAGCTACCAACCCCCATGTTGTTTACCACCGTGGATGTAGCTGATCGGGACAGAGCAGACGCATTCAGCCAGAAATAGATTGATTGATGTAGTTGTCCAACCTGTTGAGCGTGTTTCGGTGGACTTGATCGGGCACGAGCTAATATGTTCGGTTCGGTATGAGGTAGTTCCTCATTCTATGACGCTGCTTCAAAGAGGCACGCATCACTTCATCAAGTTTGAGTTGACGGTCGTCGGCCAAACGCCCCTTTCCTCTTGAAAGTAAAGAGGCTGATCAAATATTTTACAGTGTCTGTCGCACCCACAGGAGTGATGAGTTTCTTCGTGAAGCAAAATGGTTCGACTGAGACTGCTGTCTACTGATGTTTCCTATCCTCACGAATCACTATGGCTTCCGTCTGCCGGACATTTACCTTTATACCAGTTCTTCGCAAATCGACCGCAGTGGCTTCAAGCTTATCCTTAAGGCGAGTTTGACTTTCTGCACACACAACCCAGCCATCCACAGGGGCACGGAACTTGTATCGCAACTGCGGAATCGACAACCCAAGAAGCTCATCCATTGTCACGATGAACAACAATGGGGAGAGTGAATCTCGCCACTTCACACCTGTGTGGCAGTGAACGTCAAAGGTAAAGAAAAATCGCTACAGCTTTCTCATGGGACTGTGCGATTTAATGAACTATAGGTGACGGAACTCCGAATGCCTCGGCAGATCTGGCGATTGTGTCATGCGAACTCAAACGCTTTCGAGTTATCACTAAATGTCTACCTTATGTTAGGAGTCGCTGAAGAGTGCCGAAGCACGGCATGCAAAGACAATATGGCTCTCCGTCCACCAATCGATGTAGAAAATCTAACCGAAGTGAGGGCGACTGCAATCTACGACCTCACTGATCAGCAAGCACCTTAGGAAAGCATCGGACAAGAATGGATGACTAGGAGATTGGTTTCAGTTGATCCAGCAAAGTCGGATTTGGGGACCTTCGGAACCTACGGACACGACACAGGCTTGGCGGACAACTCAAAGATAGTGAAAGTGAGTTGAAATACTCAGCGAGAGCGTTTGTACCGAAGCGACGGAGCACCATGTGCGTGAGTTTGCCCGGGCCTGGGACGAGTTGCCCATGGGGCGGCCGTAAGCCCGACTCCCCTCCTGCAGTTGGCTCGATCAAGCTCTAATTGGATGATAACATTACGGGATTTGGCTGGCCATCTTCATGGTTTAGAGCCTAGAGAACCTGCTTCCAATACTGTTCAGCGTCCAGAGACAGGCCACAGTTACTTTTATACAGACCCTTCCATGACCCATCGAGCACAGCAGAATTTGCATCCTTCCATCTTCAGTGCTGTAGGGTCTGGATGGCGGCGCGGTTGGCTCGGCGGATTTTCTTTTGGTCGACAGATCTCCGACAGGCTGGTTGACGATGGCGTCGGGATACGGTTTTCCAGGTGTGTGGAAATGTTTCAATGGTGTGTAGGTCAAGAAGTCGCAGGGCCCGCTCAGGTGCCGGGATGCTGGACTGCAACCCTCGGGAAAATGCCAGCATGTCAACACTAGCAAGCGAAATGTTGGCATGTGGTTCCGAGAGTGACAAGGCGAAATTTACGGTTCATTTAATCTCGACGCCATAGTTAGTTATTGGCTTCTGACGAGTAGCCGTTATTGAAGCAATAATTTGGCCAGGGCCACCAGTAGATAATTCGTCCTTTTGTGCTTGCCAGTTAGTAAACCATGACCTGGATTTGATGCCGATAGCCAATCGACCAGAAAAATGCTGCTCCAATCTTGCAAACAGCGTGGTTTGCATATCACAGGATGGATATAAAATGTTAACCAGGCTTGAGAGCGACTGTGACTCTTGCTGGGGCAAGCGGGTACCGGAATACCTTACTCGGCCAGGCTTATCTGCACTGTGTCGGGTATGCGTGCTGGCAGTGTTGACCCAGGCCAAACGTCTTCAGAAAAGGGCGAGAACAATCAGCGCAGCCCAACTGGCCGGCCATGTTCGTGCTAACACTTTCCTTGTCGTTACACGATGGCGGGCTACCAAGCCAACTCTAGATTCGCAGCACTTGCCACAATCTTCACACGTGATTCCCGTGAACCTCTTCTGTGTACTAGTTGGGACGGATGCGAAGGCGCCAGATGATTTGTAGTGTACATTGTCGGAAGTAATCAGCATATTGAAACCAAGAAAGGTGGTTAGACCAGTCTGGAGTTGGTGAACTCTTAGCTCTCCCAGGCTGACGTCCAGGCTACCCAGTCGGCACAACGATAAGGTGGTTCAGCTCACCCACTACTAACAATACTGCTATTAGCTTCTTACAAAACTCACCCCTGTCTTGGTTTATGAGATAACCAGCTGCTTTTTAGCGCAGCCACTCAATGAAAAACAGTGTTGGTGCACGTTTTGCCAGCTGCGAGAGCAAGGGTCGCATTGCTGTCATATATATTCAGTTAACGCCTCCATAGGGTGTCTACGTGTTTGTAAACGGACAGCGTTAAAGTCAAGCTCACGCTATGCTTATTCGTGTTAGTTCAGCCTCAAAATTCAATTCGCGCTGGAAATTACGAGTCCAAAACTATTCCAACAAATCAGATTATATTGCTTCTGTATTTGGTAAAATGCACTGAAAAGCACTGCATTTTAACACTGAATCTTTCTTTTTCAACATAATATATCTTGAGAAATGAATATATAATGGATAAGGACTAGCCAGGCGATAAATTTTTCGGCAACACCGCCCATGTATTGATCCAATTAGGATAGTTGATGCATTGAAACGAAAAGTCTCAACCCATTGGAATACAAAGAATCACACAGTCGATTCCCGAGCCATCAGGGATTTGAGTGCTTTTGTACAAAACTATGTGACAGGGATAAAGGCGTTAAGGAAATTTCTCCGGTAGACTGGAGTCCACCGTTTTGACTGGGCGACATTTTTGACCAATGAGCGTGTGGTATTTCAGTATTCCGCCCGACCTCATGGTCAAGCCCCAGGCCGGCTGTGCACTGTGATTCAGCGGAATGACGACGAAGTACGATAGAGCGATAACAGTTTTTTCTCCGGATGGGCATTTATTTCAGGTGGAATATGCCCAGGAAGCTGTAAAGAAAGGCTCAACGGCCGTAGGTTGAGAATTTACTTTTCAATTCTATACGTTTTAAAGATAGCTGTACGTGGAAAGAACTGCGTTGTCCTGTGTGTTGAAAAGAAGGCGACAAATAAGCTTCAAGTAGAGGGACCACTCAGGAAAATATCACTGGTTGATGACCATGTTGCCGTTGCTTTTGCAGGTGGGTTGACTGTCTTAAGTGTCTCAGAGACGCGTTCGATTTGCAATTTCTTGTATCGTGGTTTTCGCACTTGTGAGCCGCAACTGGCGCTACGTGTGTCCGTCAAAGCTAGCACGCTGCTTAAATTCTTGAGCACTTTCCGTTCATGACGTCATCCTTGAGCATGTGTGCCGCTCACCTCTTGGGGTTCCGGATACAACGTGTCAATCAATCTGTAGGTGTGGATGGTATCAATTTAATAAAGACCATAGAGCGATTCACTACTGGTTTTGGTGTACCGTGCTCCATTTAGAAGTGAGTTCGTTACGGACCCCATTTTTTGCCGTTTACCATTTGGCCATCCGCCTGGCTTCTTAAGGGGTGGAGCCTGTTGAGTTGCTGTCGGTTCACTTCGTTAGTTACCTCTTCCAAGTATTCTGCACTGAGCCGATGAGCGGCCTCCTCCACAGACGCGGGAAGAAGAATCTTGAGGCTACCAAAGACCAAGAAATGGTTTGGATACGTGCAATTTTTCTTAAACAAACAATCATCACGGATGGTCGGTCCGTGTGCGCGTTCGGTGACGGATTAGAGGACGTCGGGTGGGAGGATAGGTCCGTTTACGCTGAAATTTTGTATATGATCCAACTCGAGCATTCGTATCACCGTCTATCCTCTACGAACCTCCTAACAAGCTCAGCACACGACGACAGACAAGCGTAGGCACGCCAGCTGGCTAATAAATGGCAGCAATGTCACCACTGAGGTTGGCTGCGCACCATATCCTGCACACTTCACAACCACGTGCAAGGGGAATCACGTGGATCGCATCCAAGAAGGCACAAAGCTCACACAGCACTCAACTTGGTGAACCGCTTTCGGCTTTCCGCATCATGGTCTGTCCTCCACGAACTCCTCACCAACAAGGCTTTTCTGTTAGGCAGCGGTTCGGCCATCATAATCACCTTATCCTGACGAGCGCATTCGACTAATTGTCTAGTAATCGCTTGTGAGCCGTTTCATTGTACAAATGTTGCATCCGGTTGACCCCTGCTCTACTACGGAGAAAGTGGTGACCAATTTCATGAGGACCCTGGAGGTTCTTGCCGCAGAGTCAATTTTCATTCACAGAGTAGGACTGCTTTCACGGTCGATTGGTCGATGCGGCCTTTTAGCCTCAGTGCTATTCGTTTGTGACGGAAATTGGCAAATGTTGCTAGTGCTTTGATGAAATGAGAACTGACTTAATGTCGTAGTAGAATCATGGCTTAAGAAACTGGTAAGTAGGCATATAAACAAACTCAGGTTCTTCATTCTGTAGCTTAACAGACACATGAGAGTTGTAGGTCCTGAAGTAAGACCTTGTTTGCCGGAGGTGCTGGATACATGACGAAGGAGCGGACCGTTTCCTACGTTCTATTTAGAACATTTTGGGAGGGAGGCTCGATTTTGTAACATCAGGACATTATCATTCACATAATCTCAGTCCACCAGGATTATGTCGACCACCGGTGTGAGCGGCAAGATAAAGAAAGAGATAAAGAGAACGATGTTGGCGAACCCCATTGGGTGTTGGGAAACTTCGGGCAGCACTTTATAGACCTGAATGCGACCATAATGATAAAAAACAATGTCGCGAAGAATATTAGCGGATTTCATTATTCAACTGTATGTAGAAGAGCCAACCACTCACGGGATCGAAGACCTCTTTGAAATCAAGGAAAGGCAATACAGCTCGTTGGCGGTGTATCGGAGACTGTTCAAGCTATTGACGTAATGTGAATATGTGTTCAATGCATCCCCTACCCAGTTGAAGTCCTGCCTGGTGCTCCCAGGATTGCATTCTTTGAAATCAAGGAAAGGCAATACAGCTTGTCGGCGGTGTATCGGAGACTGTTCAAGCTGTTGACGTAATGTGAATGTGTTCAATGCATCCCTGCCTGGTGCTCCTAGGATTGCACCTCGCTTGAGGCAAGTAGCCTTAAAAACGTACGATTACTAACTTGTTTAGTGTAGGCACGAGGATCGATTTGGCTCAGGATTATGAGGTGCAACCTGGTTTCAAGCTTGGTTTAAATCTATTCAAGGGAAAACAGATTTCGTCTATTCCGCATAAAACTACGCAGAGTTCGTCCGACCAAGTGGTCTGATGGCGCTTCAAAGCAGAACACCGTATTAATACTTCAGAAGCTGAGCTGGGGTTAAACTTATAGATCGCGATCGGAATTGAGCCATTGTCTGAAAGACATGACTACAAGCGCAGAGAGCCAACCAAACTGTTGTACAAAAGATTCAACCCGGTGATCAAGACGCTGATTCCTGTCGGGGATCAATTATCCGATGTTATCCTTGATGACTTCTTTAATATCTGTTCTGTTTGGCCCCGTTTCGCGTATCAGGTGAAGAAGTTTCCGGACATTACGAGATACACTATCTTCCTCCATTTCCAGAGCATTTATGTAACCAAGTTTCTCCACCTATAAGCAATAATGCTTGTGCTGACATCCAGCAGTTCTCATGACTGAATTCTGGCTAGCGTTTGAGGGAATGTGGCGTCTCATATCAGAAAGCGACGATGACCGACCTGAAATCGTGCTTATTTGATGCCCCCCTGAAGTATAACGAAAGAAGTTCCCTGTCATATGAGAAGTGTTGCTTAACTCGTCACATTTACGACTGACATACTATGAGGATGTGGCTTTTGGAGCTTCGTTTAGGTCGGTTTGATAAGAATGTTCAATCGGAGGCTTGTTCCTTCGGCCTCCTCGGGAGACTTATGGAAAGTTTACACCGAAAAAGAGCATGGTCCCTGGTTCGACGTTGGTGGTATAGAAAGGTGGACAATCAAGAGTAGGCCCCGTCATTGAGTACTGAGGGCTATGTGGTCAATCAGTTTCCAGGGTTACCCATCAGTAGGAGGAAGCCAGATGATGCAACGGTGTCTGATGCGTCTGAACCCAACACTACTCAGGAACAATTGGTGATCACTTGCAAGGCGTTATCGCCATTGCCATTAACTGTTGAGCATGAGATGAACTATGATCACCATTGTCATTTTACATTGAGCTTTAGGTGCACAGACCACTAAACCGCGTCTATATTAACTGACATGTCCTACTTGTGCACTTGGGCCGTCGCTGATTAGGACATTCTCTAAACTAAATAAATCGTCCAGCTGTAATGCCCTCTCAGTGTCTAGCTGCCACGCCACCAGAAAGAAGCACGAGGGCTGGGGACTGCCAGGTTGCCCAAGCCTAGACAGAAAAAGTCGCGAGGGAGAGGTCGGGTTCGAACCACAGACCTTTCGGTCAGCAAATTCGAGCCATCTCATCCTTTTATCCGAACTCCTCGTTATGGATGGGAAAATATTACTTCCATTAAAAAAGGCACCATCGAATCGGAGCTTCAGTTGGTTGGTGCGTAAACGGAAACTACAGAATGAACGGATAATATTTTGGCCATTGTGGATCCTTGTGGAAGTCGGTAAGCGAACAGAGCAATGAGAGTTATTTGCTGAAATCCAGTCGATCAGGGAAGCCCTAGCTCGGGAACTACGTGCGGCGTTAACACCGGCATAAACCGCTGCAACAGACTCAGAATAATAATAGTGCTTATTAAAGAAACGTCGCTCGTTTGTCATGAATATTCTTTTGGTGCTTTGCTGCAACGCACGAAGAAGCACGGGAGCTGAGCTATTTCCAGGTTGCTCAAGTACAGACGGGAAAACAGTCAGGATGTTTAGACTGGACTTGAACCACGAAAATAATTGCACGCTTTTCCAGCTAATCCAACCTACTGTTCCAAAGATGTCAGCGAAACGATCCCCGAAGGGGACGCAAACTCATTTCCTCAGCAGAAACTTTGGCTTGAATGGTGAACTGCTTGCGCCCAACGAAAACGAAATCAACCTTTTAAAATGAAACAAAGCACCAGCTCCTGACCGTCTTCCCCCGTTTGAAGATCTAGACAAAAAACTATTTCATGGTGTGACGAAACTCATGCAAACCTTTCGGACGACGAATGGAGTATCAGAGGAAGGAAAAATGTCTACTATCGTTTTTGCCCCCAAAGATGTTGGATCTAAGTGTGAGTATCATTGGGATATTAGTTCAGTCATCACCTCTAAGCTGCTCACAAGTGTTGTCCAGACTTACTGATCATCGATGCATCCACCACCATCATCATCATCATCATCATCATCATCATCATCATCATCATCA